AACGAAAAAAATGATAGTCATGCCGGCCCAGCATCCTCAACATTTCAAAATGCCCCGGCACGAAGTGGTTAATTAAAAAAATTACAGTTTTTGGCTCAATTTTCTGGGGGCCATAGCCCTTGTCGGCCCCCCTGGATCCACCCTTGCTCACTTTAACCCCCAAAGAGCAGCTGATGCCATCCTGAAAAGTCCAAAATGTTACGGCACATGGCAATCTGTTAGAAGGGATATCATTTGAGAGAAAGACCTACATGTTCATGTAGATATCTGGGAGGGCAGAGATGGTATTGTTTTTGATGAGCCATTTGCATATTGAGTGGCATCATCCAACCGAGTTTTGTCCATGGGACTGACATGGCTTGAAGGAATTTGCTTAGGCAGGGATAAAAGTAATAAAGTTGCAGGTGTCTTGATTGAGTTCCTGGATAATCACACCATACAAGTCTGTCCTTGTATTATTATTATAAAAACATGTCTGCTAGGTATGGTAACAGTCCTTCAGAAGAGAAACGTATACTGAACGAGAAAATGTACAGAAGAGTGAGTAATGATCATGAGTTAACATTCATTGCACATTTCCTTTTGGGTTTGAGTATTTAGAAGAGTAAGGAACATTGGACAAGGAAGAACGACAGGTTGTGACGTCATCCATTGCGAGAGAACAAGTTGCATGTATGCATTTGAAAATAAGAATCCAGAATTAAGGAAAGTTGATGTTGGTCTGTGTTCTCTTGGCAGTTCTATCCCGACCAGCGACACTTTTTGGATGACCCCCATGTGGAGCGCCACCTCTTCGACATCATGTCAGCCTTCGTGAACACGAGCATAGAAAAGATGTACCAGAACACAGAACTGCACGCATCGTGAACAGAGATCGTTGCAGGCTCCCTCTCTACGCTCTGTTTACATGTCGCTTCTCCTCCTTGTATATTTTGAATTGAGGCTTGAATGTCCATGGATAGTCTGGAAGTTCGCTGGGGAAAATTTAACAGCGCCTGACAAAAAACTGGAAATATAATACAGCACCGTTGACAGTCATATTAAGCACACCCTGGACATACTGGACTTCATCAATGGAATACTGCATTTTGCAGCTGTTGTGAAGGGCTTTTATGAAGTTCCTAATGCCCTGTCCAATCTGAGGCCTACTTTGCTGATGTTGTGAAAACACAACCTCTAACTGGAGGTTGTCTTCTTTAAAGTCCTCCAGTAACAGCATGCAACAGCAGGGCTTAATTTTCTGGCTTTACGTTACACCTGGGAAGAAATTTTGTTCTCTTCACCCCAAGGTTTGTTAGTGAGGGGCCAAGTTTACGAAGCAACTAAGCACAGCAATTCTGAATGCTGAAAATAATGAAGGGTAACCAGCTAAAACATCATGCAGTGTGTTTTTCTTTTGACTGGTTCCCAGTCCATTTTGCAATACTTAAAGCTCAACTGTTCTACATATTGACCCCACAAAAGCATGTCAAGACTCAAAGCAGCTTTCTTGTGCTGAGGCATGATGAATTTTGAACAGAAATCTCTACCGTAACTTCAGCATACTCTAAATCAAGTCATTACTTTTCCCCCCACATGCAAATTTTGAAGTGTCGTGGATGGAGAAGTAAAGCAGCCAGGATTTAGACCTCGGTCTCCTGGCGTTCGTGTTTATAAGGATGGTACTGCCCTCAAACCCTCTGAACTCCTAGTGTTCGCTGAGAGTCCTAATTTCTCTGGAGTTAAGTGGCCTTGTTCAGAAGTATACATACAGGCGGGACTACCTCTTTGTGCACTGGTGCATATGCAAATGAACAGAATGTCAGAGGTCAGTAGAGCAATCAATCCATTTTGTGTGGGCAGCCAAAGTTTGCAGAAAGTTCATGCTTGATTGACAAGACCCTTTGTGTTAAAGTGCACATTTTGTTTTATTTAGGGGCATTGAAATGAAGCATTCAGTAGGTTTTATTATAGTGTTTGTCTGACTTTTGTTTTTATATTTTGTAAATTATTCTTTTAGTTTTATACTCATGGCTAGTTAGCTAGTGGCTTTCCATTAATGCACATGTTTTTCCCAGCCTCGTTTCGTCTAAATCAACTGGTTGTGGCTGAGAGTACCACCTGTGCCTATGTGAAACAGCCACAGCCAGTGGCTTTTCACTGATGCAAGTGTGATACTTTCAATCCCAGCCATAGTTTTCGGTTCTGTGTAAATCAACTGGCTGCAGCTAGGAGTAGCACATGTCTATGAGAAATGGCTGTAGCCAACGCCATAGATATATATGTGTCAGATTTTTTGCCACAGCAAGTAGATTTAGACACCGTTGGACTATCACCGCTGTGATTGAACTGGCTCTTTTGTTGTGTGCTTTCTCAAATTCTTGCAAACTTGAAATGAGCAAAGCTGTCATTAAATTCTCTTTCACTTCAACAGAACTTCCATTTTGAGGGGCATTGCGTTGATAGTTCTTCAAAATGCCTTTTACATATTTTCTGGTTCTACAAATACTGTAACTGAACACCGAGTCCTGTTAAAATGTTTTTTCTTCTGCTGTTAAATTAATTTGTAACATTCCGGCTGTACAAAGTGTATGATATATTTGTACTTTATGAACTGTACATATTGCCTGTATGCATGACCATTTTTATGCTAAAAAGCACAAGAATTAAAGTTTATCAAATTATGGTTTATTTTGTTTTTTAAAAATTGGTTGAAGTGGTTTGTTTGTTTTATAAATTTTAAGTACCCAGAAACTATTTCTTAGTTTAGAACCCCAAAAGCTCCTTTGTGATGAAGGTGACCTGATGTACATGTACCAAGTAAGTTTAATGAAACTAGCTAAAGATAAGTAATTGGTCCATTCACAGCTAGTGGTAAAAATGCAAACAAAATGTCAGAAAGCCAGTCTAAACTCTTGTTGCTTGGCCAAATCTCACCTTCATTGGTTTGTGAATATTCTTAAATATAAACGTGAACGGTGTGTGAGAACCAGTGCAAGAGATTTTCACTTGCCAATCACTGTAAAGTTACACAGAAACCATTCTCATTTGTTGTGTCCCGATGCATCGTGACAAAAGTTTAGTTTTACAAATCACTCAAACGTACTAAAGTTATCTGGAAATGTTTTTGTTTTATATTTGATCAAGTTGTGAAATGCTGTGGAGACTTTCCTCATCTTTTTGTGTCGGTGTTATTTATACTATGCCTCGGCCCAGTGTCAGTTAAATACCATAGGCTCATTATATTTCAGTGTATAACATCCAAAAATTCAAGAGGTTTGTTAAATGTAACCTGAAAGTTCTATTCCAATTCATGTATATCAACAAATGTTTTATTTTTTGATATTTTTTACTTGTATGGTTGAATCTATGTGCATGTTAATATAATTGTGGACAAGCGATTATAGTACATGTACATTGGGATCATTTTCTACAAAAAAATCCTGCAGCAAATTCATATAACATGTATCTCCAAACACCCACCAGTATTTGGAACAGTTGCAAAATACATGTACTAATATCAAAAAATGAAAGAAAATTGGAGTGTTATATTGAGAGGTTGTGGGTTCACATCAACCCAACCCATTTTTTTATCCATGCTTAAATGTATTGTTAATAAAGCAGGTGCCATATTTAAGATGGGATAATAGTCTAGTATGTGGACTCTGAACTGAGAGGCTGTTGGTTCAAAACCAACCGAAATCTTTTTGTGTCATATTCTAATCCAAAGATAACTACATTGCCCAAATATTTCATTGATGACAGACCGATATGGTTCCTTGAAAGGGCACGTTTTTTTGTCTTTGTAATGTATGAAATGATAGAACATACAAACACATTTGATTCAGAAGAGTAAGTTGCCCAATAGCAGGACTTACTTTTAGAAAATCCCGGGGTAGTGGGTTCAAAACCAACCAATGCTTTTGTCGTCTTGTCTATTTATTCTAAGGGTTAAGTGAAAGGTAGTTCTTTATAAAGGTTGGGTTAATACTTGGTAAATTTAAAAATCCTTAGATATAACTTGCTTATAACATTCAATTCATTAGAAAACAAGGTAACAGTGAATTTCATTATATCAGCTTTGTTCTGTGTATTAAGTTTGAGTAATTATTCAACTGATTACCATTTATAAGCGCCGTGATTTAGTTTATTAAAAAGAGCATTAAGAATGCTGGTTATTATTTTACCATCCAGTCGTGTCCATGATTCATGCCATTGTTAACTCAAATTGTTATAAATGATGCTGCCTACATGTCAGAGGCACCTGCTGAATATAATTGAAGAATGTAGCGTACTTCACACCGGTACTTGGGAACAATTTTGAAAAGTGTCCTTGCTTGTGTTCCTAAATAAATTTAAACATATTCCGCCAAAGTTGTGACAACATGTAAAACAATCATTCAAGGGTTTTTTAGTGATGACAGATTTGTTTGTAAATTTTTTTTTTAAATCAGTTACTAATTTCTGACGCTGACATGATTATCCAACAAGGGTTCTTTATATACACATGAAATAAATACAAATGCACATTCTTTAAATGTAGCTCCACACAGTTTCTGTATGTACAGTATATTTTGGAGATATATCTGACTTTCTTTTACTTTAAACAGTGAATCAAAACATTACAGAGACATGTTATCTTCTAATACAACTATATTGAAGCAAATGCCCCTTTTCAAAATAATCAGCAACCGATCTGTATGTACGTAGGTAAGTCGTCTAAAAAGGTCCATAATTTTGTTCACCAACTTTGCCACAGTTCATCTCTTAGATGAGTAACAAAAAGGAAACATTTTTACAGCAAGGATAAAGATTGATAAACTTGAAAAACGTCTCTAAATTCACATTAAATAATGTACACTTTTGTAAGAAGTCATTCAAATCATAACACATTTTGGAGAATATAATGCCCATAATACAGTTCTTTTCAATTACTGCCCGTGACAAAGTTTTCCTTTTTTGACTTGTGAAGCAGGTCATTGGCCTCAAAAACTTCTGATCTCAAAATTCCCTTTACTGGATGTAGAGTAAGACTTGTTCTTGTGAACAATTTTAATTTTTTTTTCCAGTTACTTCATTCAACATTGTCATTGTCCTAAGTTGCGGTCTGTGTCTTTGACCTTTTGTATGTGCAAATACTTACACGGTTCTGGATTGAAATAAAGCAATCCTTTATGATAAAAACAGTGAGTTGTAAGAGTCATACTTCTTTTTTTCAGTTCAGGAATACCTGCAGTCTTTATTGGTGTGGCATTCTCACGTGTGTGAGCAGGTACACTGGTGCTTAATGTCCCAGTGTGGTGGTCTCAGCTGTCTCCTGGTCTCAGCAGTCCCCCCTGAATAGCCGGACATTAAACGGATGACTTTCCCGTTGTTGTGCACAAAGATGGCATGACATATTTTACCATATTTGGTAAGGGGGACCTCTGAGACCGGGAGACAGCGGAGACCGCCACACTGGATGGACAACAATTATGCAAGAACTTGCCCCAAATCATGTGACAGGGCAGCAGTGTCTGGAGATTTCAAATGGAAAGGAAATTCTACTGGCTGTCTGCATCAACTGTCTGCACATGCATCTATCTGCCACTGGCAGAAACACCTGTCTGCATATGCATCTGCAAACACTCAGACTTGGCTCTGGGGACAAGATCTTTGGAAATTCTTTTTCAACACGTACATTTGACCCGGGTGGGCCATTTACCAAATGGATTAATCTTGTGATACATAAACTGGTACAAGTCCAGTCAAATACCCCACCCCAGAGACTAAGGTGGGGATGAGAATGTTATAGATTGATTCCTCAATGGTGACAAAAAGCAGAAATAGAGGCAATAGCTGCTATGCTATTGTTACCATGCAGTCTATGCCCACGGAGAGTCTCTCAGATGCCAAGAAAACCATGCATACAGTCATTTGAAAAAATTTAGGACCACTCATACAAAATGCATAGATGGATCCCAATGTGACGCTTTTAGCGTTGATCTGCGCACTTCCGCGTTTGAAAACGAGGCTGTATGTGTCAGCTTCAATTCTTAATATGATAAGACGATTGAAAGTAAGGAGTCAAGACACAAATACATAAAGGTATGTTAAATTCAGACTTTTCAGGCTGCAAATTTTTGTGGAAGAGTCTTTCAGGATGACTCGACACGTGAAATCCAAAGAAAAAATAACGACAATTGACGGCTAACTAATGTACCAGCGATGGTCGTGTATCTTGTGCAGTGGGCGTGGTTTAAACTGAAGTGGCGTCACACTTACGAACCGGATACTCCATGTACTATGTGGACTCCACGGGCTGGCACGACAAAGTTCCACACAGAGAGCCTCGGTTCCGATGCAGATATGCACAGATGGCCCTTATGTGGAATCCTCTATTAACCTGAAGAAAAACCAAACTTAAACCAATCAATCATGGCAACTTATAATGGTTTTCAATGGGTAACCTAAGTATCTTGGTTAAACAGCTACATTTGACTACATTTCCATGATTTGAAATGTTAAGGGTCTAATGTGCCCTCCTTTATTTCTGATTACTTTGACTGCCTTAAAGACAAAATATCATACAAGACCTGCCTTTGCAAAGAAATTCATTCAAATGGGTATATAGCACTACACTGACGTTGTGCACCACTGTAAAATATGTTAAGTAATCATTCAATGAGACAATATAATGGAGGCCCAGAGACAAATGCCATTAAAATTTCATGTGGTTTTAAGCTTTTGCAAATGACTACATGTATATGTTGAAAACACCAAAGTCCCCATAATGTGATCCAAAGTTTCCCAACTGAAATCTTTCCCATAGCAAAAGTGGCTGCAGGCGAGGCATGAACACTCAACAGGTATGTATGAAAGCTATTTATGCAAACTTGTGAATTGCAGTCATATGGAATGGTATACTTGGTAATGAACCATGGAGTAAGGAACAAATGAACCTTCAAAAGTATGAACCTTCAATTGTTTGTCCTTGACCTCCAAAAATGGAGCCCCTTCCCTCACCACACAATGTTGCTCTTTCAGTGGAGGACACATTCCTTTGTATTCTGGTCACTTTTGGCAATGTTCAATAACTTTCCCTGGACATACATGTATAGTTGAAGAAGTTACAGACTAACCAGACTTCATTACAGCACTAGTGACACCATGCTCACATATGTGCAGTTACATTTTGTAAGCTACACCGCAACTGGCAAGTCACAATACTCAAGTGGTTGATGGAACATTTAACTACCATAGATCAAAATGCTTTCCATTATAATTACCCCTGCTCACTGGGCCTGTGAAACATTTCAAATACCATCTCAGCTCCCTGGGGAGTATACAGCTCGATGCTGCC